CCCCCCCCGGCCACTGGCGACCTTCATGATTTCGGACGATCGGCTAGAAAATTAGAGGCGAAGCGGACGGAGGTGTGAGCCGAGTTAGCCAAGAACGCTAACGCGCTAAGAAGAAGAAGGTAGTAGAATGCAGGAGCGCACGAACCAGTCTGTCTTTATGAAGACGCCACATCCCCCCGGGGGGGCGGGCTCAGAACGTTCAAAAGCAGCCAATGAGAAGCTTAGGGGCGTGGCCTCGCGTGCTCTTAGTTCCCACCTCCTGCTCTACTAGTGCACCCTCGTGTAGGTGAAAAGGAGCCCGACTCTCGAACAGAGATGGGTGGGAGGTCACGGAGCAGAGCGGCTAGCGGGAGCGAGGCTAAGCCGGTATTGCTGATAACGAAAAGACCTCCGGGATTAATTTTTCTATGTTCACTTTCCGGCCTCTCACACTCCATGTAAGAGTAGAGAAACTGAGGCCGGGATGGAGTAGCGGCTGTCTCTGGGCCCTCTAGGAAGTTTCTCTCTCGCACCCTGATGTGTAAATAGTAGAACCGAAATGTAAAGTTGGCTCATCTTTACAGCTGGCTTTTCCTTTCCTCAGTTCCCAGAGAAGGTTGCTGTTAATGGACTTGGGACCTGAAGGGCAAACTCAGACCCCTCAGAACTGGAGCAATTAATTCGGGGAAATCTAAGGTTCGGTCTCTGAAACCCGAACTAGATAGGAGTACCCTAAATTTGCAGCCCCTTGCAAAAATATTTCAAATCTGTAGTAACTAGTGCCTTTTCATAGTTCTCCGTTTTTTGTCTGGACCTTTTTTTTTTTTTTTTTTCCTTAAAGACCTCGGAGCCGGGTCTCCCTCCCACGGCGCAGCAGCTGCGGAGCTCAAATCTCACCCCCTTTCCCGGGCCGGTCTGTGTCAGCGTCTGAACAAGCGGCTCAGACCGTTAGACGCCAGCTCCGTGACGTCACCCATTCATAAAACCAGGACGGGCTGTCAGGCTGGCGCCGCGCGGGCGGTCGCCATGGAGACGGCAAACTGGGCTGGAGATTTCCCCCTCTTCCCCCGCCCGTCACCTGCAGACCCGGGGCGAGAGGCCTGGGAATGCGCTCCTCCAGGGCGCGGTCGCTGGGCAAGGGTCACCTTACTTCCCCGCCCCACACCTGCAAGTTTCCCCACCCAGCCCCACAGCTTGGGCCGCTTGGGAGGTTTCTTCACAGCCCCCACTCCGTCCTCTTTTCCCACTCCTCCTCCCTCCCCCCTTGCCCTCCAGGGCCTGGGGAAAGAGGCCTGAGTCTTGATTCCAACTCTGCTGCTGGACGAATTTAGGTGAGTCACGTGCCCTCTCTGATACCTGTCCGGAAGTTCCTTAACAATATGTACAAATGCCATCATTTATTGTGTTCATGCCTGGCAGTGTGTAAAGAATTTGCCTTGGGAGCAACAGTTAGGGTAATGGCTATGTCGTTGAACTCCTGTGTAGTCGTCCGCTGTTCGAGTCCTGGACCTGGGGGCTTAAACTCACGCCGGGTGCGTGTGCATGCGTGCCCAAGATCCCAAGAGGAGAATGGAGGAGAAGGGATTGTGACGTGGCCTTCCCCCCTGGAGGGTGATTTCTTGCTTTCTGTCTCTCTGGAGAGCACACATGCCCTATAGCAAAAACCTCTCAAAAAAAAAAAAAAAAGAATTTGCCTTTATTATCTTGGGTCGTCCTCTCTGTAAAGGTAAGAGTACTGTTCGCTTTCTTTATACACAAGAGGAAACTGAGGCTCAGAAAGCTTCCTATAGCTGTAACTGTTGTAATGGCTGCATTATTCCAACGTGGGCACATCACTGTAACCCATCTCCTTCCTGCTCAGGGAAGACAGGCTGACCCCAGAGCCGCAGAGATGCCACAGGCTGGGAAACCTGGGCTCAGAGTAGTCACCCAATGCCACACTGCATTGGGAGGGGTAGAATACTGTGCTGGCTCAGGAGGAGAGGGTAATATTAGCTCCCCCCAACACTTCATTCACTGGGTATGGGCAGATTGTGTTTCCCTAGAAGTTTGGGGGAGAGGGAACAATAAGCCAACCCTCTGCTTCCCCATCAGGAAACCAGGAGAACGGATCAGTGAGACCAGCTTCAAAGGAGACATCATCAATTAATTAGCTGGACTCTTGTCCTCTTACCACACATCCCCAAACGCTCCAAGCTCCCTAGATCTTGTTTAGCAATCCTCTAAGGATAGAAGAGGACATTTTGCTGCTCAAAAGGATTGCTGAAGAATTGCAAGGACAATGGTCAACCAGAGGAAATTAGAATATTATTTTATTACTAAGTGTTTATTAATTCACTCAGTAATTCTGTTTCCTGCAACCATTTCCAGAGAAACCTACACAGACAGGCTCAAAGATGTCTGCTCAATGATGTTCATTTTTTTAAAAAAGAATTATTTAATTTGATTTATTATTGTTATTATTTAATAATAACGTGTTCACCAGAGAGAGAGAGAGAGAAAGGAGAAATGAGAAAGCAAGCTGCCAGGTCCAAGACTAGAACTGTATTCGGCTATGTGGGAGCCTTAACACCTTAACCACTACGCTACCCACTGACCCCAGATGATTATTGCTCTTTGCAAGAAGGGAATAACCTAAATGTCCACCACCAGGCATTGCATGAACTATGAATGGAACATCAGTACTGTGGCCTGGTCATGCAGCAAGTATGGCTCTGAGGGAGAGTGAAATTCTGTTAGTGGAAAAAGCAAGTGGTAGATTGGAGGGCAGTCAAGGTAGTACTTCTTATGTGTAAAAATGTGAAATACTGCAGGGCCATTATTTTTACTATAGGGCGTATGTGCTCGCTGGAGAGAGACATATGGAGAGGGAGAGAGAGAGAAGGAAAATGAGAACTCCTTTCTTTAGGGGATGGCCATGCCACAATTCCTTCTCCATTCTCCCCTTGGGATTTTAAGAATGTGTGCCCATGCACCCCGTTCGTTTTTCAAGCCACTGGGTCCTGGACTCGAACCATGCTCTTGGCCTTGTGGGAGCCAGGTGCCTTAACCTCCATACCACCTGCTGGCCCTATAACCAAATTATCTTAGGGATTGCCACGTTGAAGTTGATGAAAAGGTGAAAGAGCAGGGGGCTTGGTTTCCCACTTTCTTTCTCTATCTGTCTTTGGTAGGTGCAGGTGCCCTATAGCATGTTGTAAAAAGGTAATAATAGTAATTAATAAAGTTAAATCTTTAAAACCCAGTCTCAGCTAACCCTGGGTCATGGCATGGGGGTGCCTGGCATATTCAGTGACGTCGTCTCTTTACACAAGCCCTGACCCCTTGCACGCAAGTCAGCCTGTGGAGCCTTGTGTTCCTACTGGACCATCAGGCTCTGCTCTGTGGTTTCACTTGTGTTTTCCTAACAGCTAGAGATGCTGAGTATCTCCTCACGTGTCTTACTTGCCATCCACGTATCTTCTATGGTGAAGTGTCATACAACTCTTTCTCTTATTAAAAATAAATATGGGGACCAGCAGTTAGCGTAATGACTATGTCACTGGACTCCCATGTAGTTGACTGCGGTTCGAGTCCCGGACCTGGTGGCTTAAACTCACGCCGGGCGCGTGTGTGTGCGTGCCCAAGATCCCGAGAGGAGAATAGAGGAGAAGGGATTGCGGCATGGCCATCCCCTCTGGGGGAGTGATTTCTCGCTTTCTATCTCTCTGTCTCTCTCTGTCTGTCTGGCAAGCACACGCACCCTATAGCAAAAACCTCTCAAAAAATAAATAAATAAATAAATAAATAAATAAATATGGGGACCAGCAGTTAGCACAATGGCTATGTTGCTGGATTCCCATGTAGATGACCGCGGTTTGAGTCCCAGACCCGGTGACTTAAACTCACACTGGGTACGAGTGCGTGCATGCCCAAGATCCCAAGAGGAGAATGGAGGAGAAGGGATTGTGGCATGGCCATCCCCCCAGGGGGTGAATTCTCACTTACTTTCTGTCTCTTTGTGTCTCCCTGTCT